TAGTTTGTGGTGCTGTTGTGGTAACTCCTGCAGTAGTGGTGGATGATTCAGTAACAGTTGTAGTGGTTGTTGAGGGAACTGCTGTTGTTGTAGCTGTTGTGGAGGATTCAGTTGTTGTAACAGTAGTTTGTGGTGCTGTTGTGGTAACTCCTGCAGTAGTGGTGGATGATTCAGTAACAGTTGTGGTGGTTGTTGAGGGAACTGCTGTTGTTGTAGCTGTTGTGGAGAATTCAGCTGTTGTAACACTAGTTTGTGGTGCTGTTGTGGTAACTCCTGCAGTAGTGGTGGATGATTCAGAAAGACTTGTAGTGGTTGTTGAGGGTACTGCTGTTGTGGAGGATTCAGCTGTTGTAACACTAGTTTGTGGTGCTGTTGTGGTAACTCCTGCAGTAGTGGTGGATGATTCAGTAAGAGATGTAATGGTTGTTGAAGACGTCGTTGTAGCTGTGGGTGTTGCATAGGTGTCGGTTGCTGAATCTGTTGTGGACTGAGTTGTTGAACTTTGCGAGTGGACTGTTGCTAGAGAAGACAGAAAGTTGGTGAACTGTTAAAGTTACATATTTTGAACATATATATTTTATGTCTAAGTGAATTGTGTAATTATTGTTGTTGTTGTTCTTGTACAATTTGTTTTTACATTTGATTCACCTACCAATAAAAATGCACATTATAATAAAAACTTTTCCCTCCATTCTGGAAAGAGTCCAGTGGTGATAATAAGAGTCTGCAAAGCAAGCAAAATACACAAAGTTTAAATACACACACATATACATCCATATATATATGTATATATACCAGATAAAAGTTGTATAATGTTGTTGATAGAAGCCACCTATCACCAAGGCTGCATTTATTTGATTAATGTAAAAAAAATACAATAAAACAGTAATTTTGTAATGCAAAGCTGAATTTTTTGCAGCCATTACTCCAGTCTTCAGTGTCACATGATCCTTCAAAAGCAGAGAAGACTTTCAAGCAGATGAGCAAACTTAATTATTCCAAACTTTTGACCAATATTATATAATAATGTAGTAATAAAGAAAACAAAACATTCATATATATATATATATATATATATAAACAATCGCTGCATCCAACAGATGTTACCAGAGACACCAACATCAGATGTAGAAGAGAATAGAATAAACGTAATCTACAAACATTATTTTCATGGTTTCAGCAAAGTACCATGAAAAAGCTTGCATTCTTGATTTAAGTTATCTACTCCATTATCTACTCCATCTGAAAAAACTGGACACTATACATTTTTACATCATGATTAGTCCAGTTCTAATTATCACTATAGATTTCACAAAATTGAAATCAAATTCCAACTGTTTATCAATATCCAAACTAAAATATTATTTTATTATGACTCCTTAATATTTAACACAAATGGTTCAGTAAACAATTTGATGCCCTTGATAGGAATGTGCTGTAGATATCAAGATAAATAATTACTTATTATTCTAATTTTAGAATTATTTTAAATAATTATATTAATAATTACTTTGTGAACAGAATATAATACTGTAACTGCAATTTCCTGTGGCTGCTTAAATATTCTGACTACATACATTTCATAAAAAAATACATTTAACAGTAACAGAACACAGACTACTTCAAAAATGATTAAATATTAAAAATATGAATATAAATATTACTACATTATGTATGCAATTAAAAATTATTTCCAGCAATTAAACTACTTTATAATGTAAATATAATTAAGACAAATGTATTTAGTGAAATAAAATGCCCTTACCAACCTTTGAGCAGATATATTTTACTCAACACCTTGATCGGTAATCCGCTGTTGTCTCAGTGGTCCAATAGTTATTCTAAGCTCCAGTTCTTCCACTTCTCTTGAATCACCTGTGGAGCTGCCTCTTAAATACCACTTAGTGACGTCCTGACTTGTGGTTTGTTACTTCATTGATATGCACAGAGAAGTACTGTATATGGAATGTTTTTTTTTGTTTTGTTTTTTGGCAGACACGGTGACGATGTTTTTCGTACATCTTTTGTATTGTGCCTAAAGTGTCTGTCGTGCGCAACAATTTATTATAGCTTATTTATAGAAGCTGTTAAGTGACTTGATAAAGCCATATAGCAGCACATTTTAATTTATAGGCGTATGTCATTCACATGCCATGATCGTTACTGTTTTAATTTCAGACATTATTTTAAATGTATCCAAAATTCGTAGGATAGAACGATTTTTTTTTGAGGGCACATAATTGTATGCACAATTTGTTTTAAGAATAAATCTCTTAATTTGTAGATATTACTGCATGGATGTTTGTGGAAACACTATTGTATAGAATCGCATTAGCAGTTTAAACAAAAAACAACATCAAACATAAGAGTTTCCCATGAGTTTAATCATTTGTGTAACCATAGACCGATCATCATGGAGCACATGATCTTTTTATGAATCCTACGTCAACTGATCACAATTACCACACATGTTAGATGTCAAAAGGGAATTCAGCTGTTGTAACACTAGTTTGTGGTGCTGTTGTGGTAACTCCTGCAGTAGTGGTGGATGATTCAGTAAGAGATGTAATGGTTGTTGAAGACGTCGTTGTAGCTGTGGGTGTTGCATAGGTGTCGGTTGCTGAATCTGTTGTGGACTGAGTTGTTGAACTTTGCGAGTGGACTGTTGCTAGAGAAGACAGAAAGTTGGTGAACTGTTAAAGTTACATATTTTGAACATATATATTTTATGTCTAAGTGAATTGTGTAATTATTGTTGTTGTTGTTCTTGTACAATTTGTTTTTACATTTGATTCACCTACCAATAAAAATGCACATTATAATAAAAACTTTTCCCTCCATTCTGGAAAGAGTCCAGTGGTGATAATAAGAGTCTGCAAAGCAAGCAAAATACACAAAGTTTAAATACACACACATATACATCCATATATATATGTATATATACCAGATAAAAGTTGTATAATGTTGTTGATAGAAGCCACCTATCACCAAGGCTGCATTTATTTGATTAATGTAAAAAAAATACAATAAAACAGTAATTTTGTAATGCAAAGCTGAATTTTTAGCAGCCATTACTCCAGTCTTCAGTGTCACATGATCCTTCAAAAGCAGAGAAGACTTTCAAGAAGATGAGCAAACTTAATTATTCCAAACTTTTGACCAATATTATATAATAATGTAGTAATAAAGAAAACAAAACATTCATATATATATATATATATATATATATATATATATATATATAAACAATCGCTGCATCCAACAGATGTTACCAGAGACACCAACATCAGATGTAGAAGAGAATAGAATAAACGTAATCTACAAACATTATTTTCATGGTTTCAGCAAAGTACCATGAAAAAGCTTGCATTCTTGATTTAAGTTATCTACTCCATTATCTACTCCATCTGAAAAAACTGGACACTATACATTTTTACATCATGATTAGTCCAGTTCTAATTATCACTATAGATTTCACAAAATTGAAATCAAATTCCAACTGTTTATCAATATCCAAACTAAAATATTATTTTATTATGACTCCTTAATATTTAACACAAATGGTTCAGTAAACAATTTGATGCCCTTGATAGGAATGTGCTGTAGATATCAAGATAAATAATTACTTATTATTCTAATTTTAGAATTATTTTAAATAATTATATTAATAATTACTTTGTGAACAGAATATAATACTGTAACTGCAATTTCCTGTGGCTGCTTAAATATTCTGACTACATACATTTCATAAAAAAATACATTTAACAGTAACAGAACACAGACTACTTCAAAAATGATTAAATATTAAAAATATGAATATAAATATTACTACATTATGTATGCAATTAAAAATTATTTCCAGCAATTAAACTACTTTATAATGTAAATATAATTAAGACAAATGTATTTAGTGAAATAAAATGCCCTTACCAACCTTTGAGCAGATATATTTTACTCAACACCTTGATCGGTAATCCGCTGTTGTCTCAGTGGTCCAATAGTTATTCTAAGCTCCAGTTCTTCCACTTCTCTTGAGTTTAATTTTTACTTATAATGTTTGTTAAACGAGTTTAAATATAGGCAATATGTATGGCCTATGTATTAAAACAATATAAATTATATTGGGATAATAAAGCAAGCTATCATGCAAACCAATGGTTGTGTGGAGTATTTTACAGAAGTTTAGAGGATTTAAGTTAATCTGTAAACATTATTTCATATATGAAGGAAAAATCAGTAGGCTAAAGTATTATAGTAAAAATAAATCGGGTTAAATCAACCCATTATGCTGGGTTAAATAACCCAATTTGCTGGGTAAAAGGAACCCAACATGAATTCTGTCCTTACCCAGCCCTTGGGTTAAAAACAACCCAAATTGTACTTGTTGGAAATCAAGTGATGTTTTAATTTATCTATAATCTCTTGATAAACAAATATAAGCAAGTAAGCATTTAAAAGGGCATGGTGCCACCTACAGTATTTACTTGGTGTTCTGAATGGATGATTTTTATGATTTAAAAAACTTGTATTATGAAATAGGCTACATTTTCACAGAAAAAGGCTAGCCAGTCTAAATATAGTAAAACTGTAGCAAAGAAATCCATGTGCGGTCATGTTGCCTTGTTGAGAGAAGAATTTAAATAATCAGTGGATCCTGGATAACAGCATGAAAAAATGTGTTTTCAATTTGCTTTCATCTGTGGCATGTCATCGTCCAATAGATTTGGAGCTTTTCTCTTTCTCATTCTGGATGTATGTGTTGAATTTAAATTTATTATAGTAATTCCAATGCAGAAATTTACTGAAATTTCAAATCAAATTTCCCCATCTGGCTTTCTTCCTCCTTCCTGGATTCAAAATCTCAATACTATTGGTTTGCCTCGCGACTCTTCTAATCTCAGTAGATTCAAATTAGTGCACTGATATTATTGTCACTTAATAAAAGCAATAAGAAAAATATCAAACTTGAAGATCATAATGCTTGTATAAACTGCATCTCAATTTTCTTTTCGATCAAATTTCATGTTTTGCTCCACCCACCAACATACACACGTACATGACTCGATTAAAAGAGATTCAGGGAGCAAAAGGGCTATCTACTGGCGAAACTGGCACAGTGCATGTGGACTTGGAAGACTGAAAGAACAAATGTAGAAAATAAATCAACTGTTATTGCTGCTAAGCAATATAGTTATATTTATATTATAATTATAGCTACTTTATCGAAGAGACAATTAATGTTTTGAAAGAATATTCTTTAAATGTGTTTGCTTATAATAGGAAAACCAATATTTTATTTAGTTACTTATAATTATGATTGTAAATAAGTAGGCCTAAGTGGGCTATAGCATAAGTACAGTCATTTTATTTTAAGTGCCCTCTTTGATAATTAAGATAAGATAAATTGTTGTCATTCCTGACATTACAATCAAGTCTAAGAAATGAATTCTTGGGTGTGGTGGGTGGTAGAGGTTAACACCCAGTCAGTGTTAGGGTAGTTTTTGTGTTACCCAGCTCCTGGGTCAAATGTAACAGCCCAGTATTTGGGTAGATTTTGTGTTCTTCAGATCCTGGGTCAGAGTAACCCAGCGGTTCAGTTATTTATCTCAGGGATTTTGCGTCCTCTTCATGAGAGAGCAGTTCTAAGCGCCATCGAATTGATGCATTTCTTTGGTAAAATACAGCTTGTGTACACTTTATTTTATCTATAAAATCGTTACTGTTTTATATCTTTCAGTTTTATGCAAAACATCATATAGGCGCGCGATGTGAGCCGAAATACTTATTTTTAATGTTTAATTTTTACTTATAATGTTTGTTAAACGAGTTTAAATATAGGCAATATGTATGGCCTATGTATTAAAACAATATAAATTATATTGGGATAATAAAGCAAGCTATCATGCAAACCAATGGTTGTGTGGAGTATTTTACAGAAGTTTAGAGGATTTAAGTTAATCTGTAAACATTATTTCATATATGAAGGAAAAATCAGTAGGCTAAAGTATTATAGTAAAAATAAATCGGGTTAAATCAACCCATTATGCTGGGTTAAATAACCCAATTTGCTGGGTAAAAGGAACCCAACATGAATTCTGTCCTTACCCAGCCCTTGGGTTAAAAACAACCCAAATTGTACTTGTTGGAAATCAAGTGATGTTTTAATTTATCTATAATCTCTTGATAAACAAATATAAGCAAGTAAGCATTTAAAAGGGCATGGTGCCACCTACAGTATTTACTTGGTGTTCTGAATGGATGATTTTTATGATTTAAAAAACTTGTATTATGAAATAGGCTACATTTTCACAGAAAAAGGCTAGCCAGTCTAAATATAGTAAAACTGTAGCAAAGAAATCCATGTGCGGTCATGTTGCCTTGTTGAGAGAAGAATTTAAATAATCAGTGGATCCTGGATAACAGCATGAAAAAATGTGTTTTCAATTTGCTTTCATCTGTGGCATGTCATCGTCCAATAGATTTGGAGCTTTTCTCTTTCTCATTCTGGATGTATGTGTTGAATTTAAATTTATTATAGTAATTCCAATGCAGAAATTTACTGAAATTTCAAATCAAATTTCCCCATCTGGCTTTCTTCCTCCTTCCTGGATTCAAAATCTCAATACTATTGGTTTGCCTCGCGACTCTTCTAATCTCAGTAGATTCAAATTAGTGCACTGATATTATTGTCACTTAATAAAAGCAATAAGAAAAATATCAAACTTGAAGATCATAATGCTTGTATAAACTGCATCTCAATTTTCTTTTCGATCAAATTTCATGTTTTGCTCCACCCACCAACATACACACGTACATGACTCGATTAAAAGAGATTCAGGGAGCAAAAGGGCTACTGGCGAAACTGGCACAGTGCATGTGGACTTGGAAGACTGAAAGAACAAATGTAGAAAATAAATCAACTGTTATTGCTGCTAAGCAACGAAAGAACATTCACAATAAAACAATCTTTTTAGATTAGACTTTTCTGAAGAAAATGTGCCATTGCAAATATTCTGAGCAAATATTCTACACTCTCAGACAAAAAGGTACAAAAGCTGTCACTGGGATGGCACCTTTTCAAAAGGTAAAATTTTCTACCTTATTTACTCCTAAAGGGTGCATATTAGTGCCTTAAAGTTACCTAAATTGTACATATTAATAGGCTACCTAATTGGTACATGTTCATACTCTTTAAAAGGGTACTGCCCCAGTGACAGCTTGTCACCATATCATATCACCATACCATAGCTGTAATCAGCTGTGTTATTATTTATGCCGTTCACTACTTGTACTTTTGATACTTCGGTACATTTAATATCAGTTACTGTTCCTTAAGTATTATTTCTCATAAACTAATTTAACTTTTTTTTTTTAATAACTTGAGCAAGGTTGGGTACTTTATGCAGTAGGCCTACTGGTTAATTGAGACACTATCAAGCAAGAAGGAGAAAAACTGGGAATCAGAAAGCAACAGTTCATGGGATGGCAAAATCACAGAGATGGGCCAGCGTGCCCCAGTTACTCTGTCCTCATATGACCCAATCTTGGCCTTTTTTTTTCTTTTAAGATAAGCTTGTATTTGGCCAGCAGATGGCAGGCTTGAATTTGCTGTAAAATGCTACTAGTGGATGAACTCCTGTCTAACTATTCTAACTACATATTCTTGGCATGTCTTATTAGCACCTGTAATACTGACATTGAAACACTTACAAGATATAGTCCACCCCAAACCCTGTCATTTACTCACCCCATTACATTCCAAACCTGTATGACTTTCTTTTTTCTGTGGAACACAAAAGAATATATTTTGAAAGTTAGTTGACTTTCATTGGTTTCATTCTCAGGTTTTTAACAACACGAGAGTGAATAAATAATGACCTTATGTTCATTTTTGAGAGAACTATCTTTTTAAATTGTGTTTAGGTTCAGGCAGGTACAAAGAAAATAAATCTTTTATTTTAAAAAATTAAATTTCCGCAGTATAATTTAAGTACTTAATCACCACAATATATTTTTTGTCAGTTCATCATTTTACCAATCTCACCTAAAAAAAAAAAAAAGGTGAAAAACCACAGTACAGCACAAACAACCACAAAGATTCTCACTTTGAAATCCCACTCGTCAAGAAACAGAGATAAAGAGATAAAGGGAAGCTAGAATTATCTGGGGCGAGCATGGTAGGTTGTGCAATGTTATTCAACAGCAAAGAATGTGGCCCTGTGACATTCCTTTCATGGTGACTTTATGAAAATGTGGGCATTTTATTTACACTTAATCTTAACTTCTGTAATCTCTGTGGATCATTTTATAAAGGACTATGTCAGCACCTAGAATAATACAGAAGGTGTAAAGGGGGAACAATGTCAGAGTAGTAGAATCCCTCAGACAGTGCCCAAGACTCGCCTGTTTTAACAACACTAAGAAATACTTTGTAATTTGTCTGACATAAGACCTTCTAAAAACTTAAAGATATATGTAACCCCATAATGTATACACAGACAATATTTCATTCTTTCAGAACTTTTCTGAAACACACAATAACATGACGTACATAGTTTAAAAAAGTCTCTTTTCAAATGAATGAATGAGAACAAAAGACAAACAGGCGTAGAAAAAGTAAGATCCGGTCATCTCAGAATGCATTCATGAAGATGTGGGTTTACTTGTGGTAATAGCTATCATTGCCTTCTTTATAATAGCAAAGATGAGTAAAAAATGCAGAAGTATTGCAAGTATTACATACAACAATAAAACAGTGCATTGACATAAAAAAAGGAAATTTACTTTTGGTATTAAGTTCTTTTAAAAGCAAGTACTTCTGTACTTTTACTTAAGTAAAAATCTGTCTTTACAACTTTTACTTGTAATGGAGTAGTTTTTGACCAGCAGTATCTGTACTTTCACTCAAGTAATGGAGTTGAGTACTTTGTCCGCCTCTGATAATAGGACCCATTAATCATACTATCCTGCATTTATGATTATTTTTTAAATTGCCAGTTTTGACAAATGAGCTATAAAGAGTTTGCAATGGAAGAATTGTGAAGGTTAAAGTTGCATTAAGACTTCGTTTAATTAAATTAATATAAAACCCTTGTAAATTTTGAAATAAATGTAAATACTTCAAACAATCATACAATATTGGAGCATATGAACTTAATAAATATGTTTATTTGAATATAATACGATATAATATGATCTTGCACTGTTAACACATACTAGAAAAAAGAGAACTACAGTATAGTCTTTAACCTGCAGACAGGTGAACAAAAGCATTACATTTAAAATACTGATGAAATTTTCCTTTTTTGATTGATTTCTACAACCTGCTGATTGATATATACATTTTTTTTTAATTCTTTGTGTTTATATTGCCATTGCCATTATTTTGAGAGTGTGCTACAATACTAAATAACACATAATACACATACTAATACACATACAAAAATATTATAATTTGCAAGTATAATTCGTGCCTTGCACATGCCTTGCATTTCTCACAACTTGCATTCATTGTTAAGGGATCTATAGGAAAAGCTGTAATATTTTTGCCATAATAATAAGCCATGTTGCTTGGAGCAGGCTGGATTCAATCTTCAGTCCACTTGAAGCTGTAGTTGCAGCTGCAGTTTTAGTTGTAGTTGTAGTTGCAGCTACAGTCGTAGCTATAACTGAGAGAAAAAGATGAACAATTTAAATCCAAATTTGTTTCATTTGTTTCATTCAGTCCAAATGTACTGTATATTTTGTGTGTTATTCTTATATACATATAATCAACTAGTGACTAACGCTATAGAAGGTTAGAAATTCCACAATATCTACTGAGCAAAAGTGCTACGAGCAGCTGTTGTAAGACTTTCAGAACATGTTGCAAGATATGACTTGAAATGCAATCAAACTTACCTGAACCATTGACTGAAACTGTTGTAGGGATTATTTTCAGTGGATCGACACCTCCTGTTTCCACTGCTGTCAAGAGAGAGTTCGCAATCTCTTGAACGGTTGGAACAGCTTGTGTGGAGTTAAAAACTAGTTGTGTATCCGTGATGATTGACCCAGGACTGGAAAAAAATCGAAGCATGTCAAATAAGATTCCTTAATATGAGCATATATATATTATTTATATATATATATATATATATATATATAAACCCACAATGAATATAAATTCCATATTTACCTGAAGCGTAAGACAATCACTCTGATGAAGGAAGGATATTTTGCTCTGTAGATTGGTTCAAGCTGTAACATACAATAACAGGCAGTGACAACCACAATCAGAATGAAACTTTTCATTTGTTAAATTACATTGATAACTGTTGAGGACTTTTTTACTTTTAGAGGGGGAAAAAAATTTGTCAATTCTTTATGGTAAACTAAACAATTAAAATAATAACAAACCCCTATACAGTATGTTTTGCTTTGGTCTAAAACATCTGTTGTGTCTTAAATACAGGCAAGATATTTTCTGTGTGTCACCTGTGAATCTTGTAAGTTTATTTTAACTCACCTGAGATCTGACAAGGTCAGCCCTTGACTTGAAAGCCTGAGAGTTTACATCGCTGAGTTCAACTATAAATATGTCAAAAGAGCGAAACACCAGAGCTGTTAGATACACGGGTACAAATTCTGTAGTTGTAGTCATAGGCACTTTAGTTGTAGATGTCAAGCGTCTTGTTGTTGTCGTCGGTGTTGTTGTTGTTGTTGTTGTTGTTGTTGTTGTCATCACTGTCGTCGCCGTTGTTGTTGTTGTTGTTGATGCTGTAGTTGAAGTAGTCATGTTTATAACTGTAAGAAAGAAGATGGAAAAAATTAGATAAACAAAATATGATGTCTTGCAGCCTTTTTTCTGTTTCATTACAGTTTAAATGTACTGTGTATTTTGTGTGTCATTCTTAAATACATAAGACTAGTACTATATTATACATTCTGCAAGGGTTATCAATAATTCTGTGGCGCTGTTGTGGAAACTCCTGCAGTAGTAGTTCCAGCAGCAGTAGATGTCACTGTTGAAGGATGTGTTGTGGGTGTTGTGGCTGTACTGATAATGGTGCTTTCGGGAATGACAGAAGTTTCTGCAGTAGTTGTTTTCTGTGGTGCTGTTGTGGAAACTCCTGCAGTAGTAGTTCCAGCAGCAGTTGATGTTACTTTTGAAGGATGTGTTGTTGTATCTGTTGGTGTTGTGGATGTTGTGGCTGTACTGATAGTGGTGCTTTCAATAGTGATTAAAGGAGGAATGACAGAAGTTTCTGCAGTAGTTGTTGTCCGTGGCGCTGTTGTGGAAACTCCTGCAGTAGTAGTTCCAGCCGCAGTAGATGTCCCTGTTGAAGGATGTGTTGTTGTATCTGTTAGTGTTGTGGATGTTGTGGCTGTACTGATAGTGGTGCTTTCAATAGTGATTAAAGGAGGAATGACAGAAGTTTCTGCAGTAGTTGTTTTCCGTGGCGCTGTTGTGGAAACTCCTGTAGTAGTAGTTCCAGCAGCTGTAGATGTCACTGTTGAAGGATGTGTTGTGGATGTTGTGGCTGTACTGATAGTGGTGCTTTCAATAGTGATTAAAGGAGGAATGACAGAAGTTTCTGCAGTAGTTGTTTTCCGTGGCGCTGTTGTGGAAACTCCTGTAGTAGTAGTTCCAGCAGCTGTAGATGTCACTGTTGAAGGATGTGTTGTGGATGTTGTGGCTGCTCTGATAGTGGTGCTTTCAGTAGGGGTTGAAGTGGGGATCACAGAAGTTACTGCAGAAGATGTTGTTTGTGGAGCTGTTGTGGAAAATCCTGCAGTAGTAGTTCCAGCAAGAGTTGTGACTGCTGTTGCTGTTGTTGTTGTTGTTATTGATGTTTCTTTAACACTACTAGGAGATGTTTCAGC